CCCACCTGGCAAGAGAGCTCAGCAGAGTTGGCTTTTATCAGAGCTACTGAGAAAGGGGGCCAATTCCCAGCCAAGCTTGTCAAATGTGCAGATGAGCAGGAGGCAGAGGTGGCCAGCAGAGGTGCTGTGAGCTCCCCACGGGGAGGAGCAGGCTGCGGTTGGGCAGTAATTAGTTCAGCTGAGAGGCCTGTCATTCCCTGTAGTAACACTCCTGGGGTGAGTTTGTTCTCTTTCCCCTTCCCTCCTCCCGCGCCTGCAGCCCTGCCTGAGAACATCTCACAGGTTCTCCCTCAAGCCAGCTGGGCCTGAAGGGCTGGTTAGGCAAAAATGTGCCTGGTGAGGCCAGTGGGAAACCGAGGCTGGGAGGGATGGAGTCGGCCCTCATCCTGTCCACAGTGAGCACTGTGTTCCACCCCATACTTGCCCAGCCCACCCAGCCAGTGTTGCCACCCCTAACCCCACCATGAGAGGACGGCCCTGCCCAGACTGTTCTTCTCCACACTGTGGGGCTGGGACCTCAGCGAGCTTCCCAAGGCCCCTCGCCTTGTCCTGTAGAGGCTCCTCCTCAGGGGCAACAGCACTGACTAGGGTCCACTCCGGCCAGTGGGTGCCTAAAGGGCCAAAGGCCGCGGGCAGCTCCCATCAGCTGAGTCAGCCTCAAGAGGACAGCCAGCCCCCTCTCAGGTTGCATCTGGCCTCCTGCTCTTTGTAGTCTTTAAACTGAGCTGTGGCAGCTTTCTCAATAACTTGTCCAAAGTTGCACAGCTAGTAAGTGGTTGAGTGGAGATCTGCTCTGAAGCCAGATGTGGTAGACTTCCCAGCCAAGCTCGAAAACACTGTATTTGATGCTTCCCACTGCCTCTGTAAGGACAAAACCACCTGGCACCTCTCCCCAGTGCCTACCCAAGACACCCAGCCCCTGAGGAATGGGGACCGTGGCCCCAGATGGGGAGGATTTCTTTATGGTTAGTCCCTGTTTTGGTCCCTTTGTCCTTTGGAATACTTTAGATCCTAAGCCTGGAAATGAGATGGGACAGGGGTGCACATACAGAAGCAAGAGGGGGTCAGGGACATAAGGAGCCATCATGAACAAGCACCCAGGAGAAGGTGCAGGGAGCTGGACTCCAATCCACACGCACCTCCAGTGTAGGGGATCGCAGCCTCTGCCCTCCAGTCAGGCCACCATGGGGACAGCAGAAATCATATTCTCAAGTGTGGGGACAGAAAGGAGGGGCTGCCTCCACAGCTGTATCTGCAGCCACCCCTGCAGAGATCAGCCCCAGCTGGGCCTGGGGTAACTTGATCTGTAAGAATGTGACACTTGATTCTGCAAACAGCCCCTCTGGGCCAGGGAGCAGAGACTGTTTGCCATTCCGCAGTCACTCAGGACCTCCTGGGCCAGGCTTTTCCGGATGGGAACCCAGAACAACACACTGCAAACAACAAGAAGCTCAATGAGGCCTGCCCTTGAACCGGGCATCTCACCCATGGCTCGCCCACGCACAGTTCACAGGAACTGTCAAGGAGGCTTAGGAGAGAGGACCATGATTTGAAGGTATGGCTCCTGGTAAGAAATCCTTATAGAGTAATTCACAGCTGGGAAAAAGAAAACAGAAAATACATTTTACATTCCCAGTCACTTCCCCATAAGGACCACACGAGAACATAGGAAGTCTGATTTCAGCAAAATGACAGAGCTGCTGGGAAAAGGTTTACTACTGTTTCCTGGCCACTGACAACTAACGAAGTCAGCCTGTAGGGGCTCCTCTGTATGGCTCACTTGTAGAACTCTGGATGGTTCCACACGTTCCTGTTTTGTGCTTTGGGCTGCTGCTTCTGGGAGCTGATATCCCCTCATACAGCCAAGCTTGATTCCCAGGGACCCCACACCCTGCCTGTTTCATGCCATCCTCTCCCTGGTCTGGGGAGGAAATCATGACTCCCACAGGGTTCCTGGGCCAGAGAGGGGTCAGCCCAGAAAGTGATGGCCCCAGAGGCCTCTGCCAGCCATTCTGCTTCCCCCAGTATCTTCCCTGCATTCCCAGAGAAGGTGCTTTCTCTTCAACTCTTGATAGTATCATGGTCTCTGTCTCCTCAGTCTTGGCAGGACCTTGGCTTTCGTCTTTATGCCATCTTCTGCCCTCCTGCCTAGGAAGGTACCATCTCCTAACCTGCAAACCCCAAGCCCACCCTAACACCAGTGCCCTAGGGATGGGCAGCATGGTGGAGCTGCTGAGAATGTGGGCTCTAAAGACCAGATGCCTGAGTCGGAGGCTCTACCACTCACCAGCTCTGTGACTCTGGATAACCGTCAGGCTAATTCACAGCTTCTCCATGTATATATTGAAAATAGAAATAGCACATATTTTCAAGGATTGTTATGAAGATTAAATTAGATACTGTGTTGAAGGGTTTAGACATGCATAGCACATAGTAAGTCCTCAGTAAGTGGTAGCTATCAGTTGGCTGTTAAGATACCACATTGGGAAGACGTTGGTCCAAAGGTATGAACTTTCAGGTAGAAGATGAAACAGTTTTGGGGCTCTAATGTACAGCTCGATGATTACAGTTAATGATACTATTGTATTTACTTGAAAGTTGGTAAGAGAGTAGATCTTAAATGTTCTCACCACAAATAAGAAATGGTAATTATATGAGTTGATGGAGATGTTAACTAACATTATGGTTATGATCATTTTGCAGTATATGCGTTTCAAATTTACATGTTGCACACCTTAAACTTACAAATTGTTATGCATCAATTATATCAAATAAGCTGGAAAAAATATGAAAAATGAAGTATCTATAAAGTGAAAAAAAGATATGTTTTACTGGGACAACTGGCTATCCTTTCACATGCAAAAGAATTTGAACTCCTTCCTCAATATACAAAAATTAAAATGGATCAGAGACCTAAATGTAAGAGCTGGGGAAAAAAATTTCTTAGAAGAAAACAAATCAGTAAATCTGTATGACCTTGGATTAAATAATAATTTCTTAGATATCACACAAAAAGCACAAGCAACTAAAGAAAAAAATAGGTAAATTGGACTTTGTAAAAATTAAAAATTTGGGGCTTCAAAGGATACCATCAAAAAATGAAAAGACAACCCACAAAACAGGGGAAAATATTTGGAAATTATATATCAATAAGAGGCTCACATCCAGTATATAAAGCGCTGTTACAACTCAACAATACAAAGACAAATAACCCAGTTTAAAAATGGGCAAAGAATTTGAATAGACATTTCTGCCAAGAAGATATACAAATAGCCAATAAGCGCATGACAAGATTTTAGGCATCACTAATCATTAGAGAAATGCAAATCAAACCCTCAATGAGATACCACTTCCCATCCCCCAAGAAGGCTATAATCAAAAAGATAGATAATAGCAAGTGTTGGTCAGTATGCAGAGATAATTGGAACCCTCATACATGACTGGTAAGAATGTAAAATGGTACAACCACCGTGGAACACAGTCTGGCAGTTCCTCAGACATTAAAAATAGTTATATAACCCAGAAATTCTGCTCCTGGGTATATAACCCAGAGAATGAAAACATGTTCTCACAAAAACATATACGTAAATGTTCATCGCAGCATTATTCTTAGTAGCCAAAAAGTGGAAACAACCAAATATCCACCAAGTGATGATAAAATACGGTATATCCATACAATGGAATATTATTCACCATAAAAATGAATACAGGACTGATACATACTGCAACATGGATGAACCTTGAAAATATGCTAAGTGAAAGAAGGAACATAGTGCATGATTCCATTTGTGTGAAATGTCCAGGATAAGCAGATCTGTAGAGACAGTAGATTAATGGTTGCCAGAGGCTGGTGAAAGTGGGGAATGACAGCTAATGGGTACAGAGTTTCTTCCTGGGGTGATGAAAATGTTCTGGAAATAGTGGTGACTGATGCACCACTTTGTGAATATACTGACAACCACTGAATTGTATACTTTAAAAGAGTGAACTTTATGGTATACGAATTACATCTCCATTAAGCTGTTATTTTTTTTTAAAAAAATCAGATGCCCTCTTAATGCCTCAGGCAGATGGAGTGAAGATTGCTACCATCACTAACAGTTTTTCCCTGCAGTGCTGTTGAGGTCAGCGTGTGTTGGGAAGGGGAAGGGGAGGGTCCCCACGGGGCGTATGCTCATACTACACCAGGATCATCTAAGCATTCCATCAGCCCTGCCCTCGTCTCCTCTGGGCTGGGAGCCTTCAGAGGGCAGCATGGGCGAGGCTCAGGCTGGGACAGGTGGCTATATCTGGCTTTCAGTGTGTTTTCAGCTGGGACACATATCAGGAGACCTCAAATGTGCTTCTGGTTGTAAAGCTCTGGACTTTGAAAGTCTTCAGAGCACTACCCTAAACGAGAGTCTTTGCCTGAAAATGAGGAAGAATGTCTGATTTCCAAACATTGGGAGAAGATAAAATGCCTGGTAACATTTGTCAGCGTGTGCCGTCTTTAACCTGGTGGCTGAGTGCATCATTGGCTTTTTCTTAAGCAGCAGTGGGAAAGGAGTGTGGCTTTTGCCTCCCAGGGTCTGTCGGCTTTATTGACCGTTGAGGATGTGTGCCTGCCTTACCTCTTTTTTCTCTTTGACTCGCCATTTGTTCTTAACCAGCCAAAACAAAACCCAAATGTATTTTACTTATTTGGATAATGAGTAAAAGTTTGGTTTTTTTCAAAACTTCATAGCACCGAGCAGCAGGCCTCACACACAGGAGGTGTCTGCTAAGTGATGGGGGGTCAGCTGGAGGGGTGGACAGGGAAATGGTGCTGTTGCAGTAAGCGGGGTTGTGTTGGCTTGTGCAAACTTGTTTAGTCCTGGGTTTTTTGCCATCAGTGTGGCCCTTGATTGAGAATGTTCCCTCATCATGTTCCACATAGACCCTCCCCTAGTTTCTGGCATTGACAGTTATTTATATCCTGTGAATACATAGCATAAACTCCAGCCCTGTCCCTTTCTTGTCAGGTACCAAAGGTTTGGAATGTTCTCCTTCCACTCCCACCATGAACTCCTACTTTTATAAGTTCATGATCAACCTTCTCAAGAGATTCAGCAGTGAACGGAAGCTCCTGGAGGTCAGAGGCGCCTTCATCATCAGGTGAGCCTCCGCCTGCCCTCTCTTCTCCCATAGCCTCAGCTTTTCATTCTCACACCACACAAGATGTCGAAGCAACCATTTTCTCTTCTGCTCCTCTTGCCTCCTTTTCCTGACCTTTGAGCTCTTAAATGAAGGAGTTTCCCCCTTCACACTGGGTTGCTGGTGCCACTGACATGGGGCAAGTCAATGTCACCATTTTTCAAACAAATGAATTAGTTTTTCACTTGTTGGGACAGTTTTCCTTGAGGTTAAATATGCTTTTATTAAACATCCCTGAGGGTACCTTCAGGGAGGAAAGAAGGTGAGCCAGATAGAATGTAAACGGGGCTGTGCTTGGTTTGGCCACAGCTGGTGGCCACAGTGGCTCTGGTGGAACCAGGTTCTTATGCTGTGTGAGCCCAGCCCTGGACAGTCCCAGGGCACCAGCCCTAGTTACTGGAGGCCTCCAGAACTGTCACCCCCAGCAGCATGGCCAGGTCTGTCCCGTTGCCTCTTGCTTGGCTCCAAGGAGCAGAGTCCCCAGGAGAGTGACCTTCAGGCCATCAGAATCTAGATGGGGCACATATTTCTCCAGGCTCCCCAACAAAGCGGGGAAGAGGAGTTTCCCAGAATCATCTGAGTGGCCCTAGATACTCTACAGCAGTGGTTCTTGGCCCTGGCTGTGTGGTGGGTCACCAAGGAGGCTTGAAAAAAGATGATGGCTAGGTGCCCCCCTTGACCAGTAAGATCAGGGCTCCTGAGGCCATATGGGGATCGGGGAGTTGAAGAAGGATTCCGGTAGAGGGTCCAGCCTTCACAGAGCTTCAAGGCAGGAAGGAGCTTGGATGGTTCACTTTGCGGTAAACCAGAAGGCAACAGGGAGAGGGGTCAGCCTTGTGGACCATACTAAGGATTGGGGCCCTTACCCAGAGATCACTGAAAGGACGTGAGCGGGGAGTGGCGTGACCAGATATCTGTTTTTATTTAAAGATGACTATGCTGCTGGGAGAGAATGGGTGGATGTGTGGGAGACCAGCTGGGAGGCTGTTGTCCAAGGTGGCAGCTTGGTAGGGGGATGGGAAGAAGCAGCGGGATTCAGGAATTAGTAAGAAGTGTGGTGGATTAGTGATTGATGGCCTGAGGGAGTGCGGGGAGAGGGGGTTGGGAGTGACAGCCAGGACTCTGGTGTCAGCAGCAGTGGGGAGGTGAAGGAGGAGGAGTTACTGGGCCCTAGCTCCAGGTGGAAGGTGGCATTGAGGCCGCCCCAGGGAACAGGCCAAAAGATTGAGTCTCCGGAGCGGACAGGCCTGCCTGGCCAGAAGGGCAATTAGCAAGACCACGAAGTCCCTGCCCATTGGGAGGAAGGGACTTCTGATGGTCTAGACCACCAAAAGGTGTCTTGGGGTGGTGGAAGGGTGTCACTGCCCCTCTGCTTTTCTGAGCTCTGAGAAAGCAGGGTTTCTCAGCCCCAGCACGGTTGGCATTTGGGGCTGGATACTTTGTGGCAGGGAGTGTCCTGTGAGCTATAGGATGTTGAGTAGTATCCTTGGCCTCAACCCGCTAGATGCCAGTAGCACCCCACCCACCCAGTTGGGACAAACAAAAATGTCTCCAGACAATGCCAGAGGTGCCCTGGGGAGCGCAGTTGTCCTGGGTGACAACCACAGTTACAGAGGGACAAGAATGGAGTCATATCCTCCCTGGCCAAAAGAGGAAGATTTCCACGGTTTTTCTCCACATCAAATTGGACACTCGGGGATTGAGGTAGAGATTAGATGTGGTGCAAGAGACTCCCCTTGCCATCAGGAAAATGATGGGCTCTTCCCAAACAAGTGACAGTTAGCTTTGTGTGGTTTTCCAAACTGCAGAGGTGTCAGCTCTTTTGATGAGTCTTCCTTGCCTGGAAGACTTTTCAGGGAAGCAGTGGAGAGAGAGGACTTTGAAAAAGAGACTTGTATCTAGTTTCCTCTCTGGAGAACTGGGCTGTAATGGGTTTTTTCCATCCTTTGTCAGCCTCGCATGCCCCCCAGGGGCTTGGAGAGCAGGAGCTCAGGGAGTCAGCAGCATCCCCAGACAGCAGCTGGTAGAAGTGCAGACAGCGTGGGCGTGCGCGCATGGGTACTCTCCCGACCCGCTAGGGCCAAGGCTCCAAGAGGCTAGTGACCTTGTCACTGCCACGTTCCCATTTACAGCCTCCAAGACAGTGAGGCTTTGCTTACTTTGCTGTGTCTCTGGGCATCCTGGGCTGATAGGAATCCTAATTTTGCAGGAGGGAAATGAGAGGAAGCCACATGCCTGCCTGGCTTGGTTGGATCTGGGCTGCAGACCCAGCATTCTGCTCATTCTCCAGCCGCCACTCTGTCCCTTCTGTGGGAGTGCCAGGCCAGAGGCCTTGAGGGGCTCTGCACAGCCAGTGAGCCAGGACCACTTGGGGCCTGGCTTCTCCCTCCTCATCCTCCTGGGGCTCAGTACATCCAGCATGGCACCACTCACTGTTCAGGGCTCACGCCCCTCATGGACCACACTGGGGCCTCAGAGGGCATCACGCCTGTCCTCCAGGGCGTACCTCACTCCCAGCCCGCACAGCCACAGAGATCTCCTAGGCCTGGGCACAGAGAACCCAGGAGCCTTGTGGATGGGCCCCTCACGTATGTTGTTCCTCCTGGTCCTTCATTGCATTTGTCCAGCCCACTGTCCCCCCTGAAGCAGCACCAGCACCAGCACCTGTCATTTCGTTCTATAGCTTCCTGTGGGCCTGCTGCCTGCTAAGCCAGCGTGCCAGCCACCCAATCTGGGTTCTCAGAGTGTACACAGCATGGAATCAGATGTGGAGGAGGCCTTGAAGACTTGTACCTTCCTCCTTCCCGTGGTCAGACAGGGGCCAAGGCCCTTTAGCAGAGGTTCACTGGGGCCCAGCACTCGGAGTGTCAGCCTGCCTGCCTGCCTCTCATTTCATTTCTTTATTTTCTGCTGATAGCTTTAAAGAGGATCGTGATAATGGTGCTTGCAGGCTGCTGAGATGCAGCCACAGGCCTGATAAGAAACACAGTAAATGATTCTTAACCCCCGCCTTCAGTTAAGCCAACTATAAGTTGTTCCTCTCAACCCTTAAGATTGGGCATTGAAAAAAGAAAAAGAAAGAGATTCTTCCAGCAAACAGGTGAAAAGCCGTTATTTATGCAGTGCTTAGCTCAGAGTCCAGGATCAGCTCCTGTCTATAGAAGGACAAAGGCATCTGGAGTTCTTGAGGACAGACATCTGGTGGGGGGTCTTGACCTTGAGGAAAATGCATAACTTTCCTCAGGCCTCAGAGCATTTCCTCTCCCCGACTCAGCTCTTCCAGGCTGCACCTCCATGGGGATTGGGAGTGGGACCCCAAACTCCAGCCGTATTAGCCATCCTTTCTGTGTCCAAATGGCCTTGTTATCTTGTGGACTTAACAGTTCAGAGGCATGTTGAGTTTGGAGATGCCAATGAGTCAGACTGGCTGTGACACACTCCAGGACCCGGCCCTTCTCCAGGCTGCAGGGACTGAGGCCAGGCCCACATACAGAGGGAAGATGGGAACATGGGGTGGGAGTGCTGAGTGTGGGCTGGGACAGGGCACCCCAGCCCTGCCCACACCCACGCCCCTCCCCAGGGCTCCACAGGAGGGGGTGCGGTGCCACAGGCACTGGTGAGCCAAATTGACAGGGGAACTTCTCCAGCCAAACAGCCTTGGGTTTGAACCCCAGTTCCTCTGGTTTTTCATGGTGTGACCTGGTTTTAAGCCTGTTTTACTTTGACTGTGAGACGAAGATAATCGTGCCTTCCTTGTCATTTTGCAGGGGAGATTATGTAAGCCTGTGCATGGTACAGCTCTCAGCACAGCTTGGTAGACCTCACAATGTGGCCCCAGCCTCCCACAGTGGTCTGTGGGGAGGGGAAACCAGACCTGGGAGAGGGTGAAATAATTGAACCTTCTGTGCAGAGAGCTGGCTTTGGTGCTCCAGGCCTGCTGCCCCAGCACCCAGAGCACCCACCAGCAGCCCAGCCCTAGCCCATTAAAACAACTCTGCCCCAAGTGGGTGTTCGTGTACACTTCCCTCCTCCGGCCTCTTCCCACCCTCCCCGGCAGTGCAGGCAGAACAAGCACAGGGCTTGTTTTCCCACGAACCGTTCCACTGTACTCAGGAGAAAATGAGAGGAGGGAGAAAACGCAGCCTCTTTGATAAACTGTGATATGAACTCCAGCGTAGTCCAACAGCTGTGATCTTTACAAGGCGTGCTTCTGTGCTGGGAAGGGAGCGAAGCTGAGGATGCTCGTTCTGCCGGCCAACACGGCCCTCTGGCCAGCCATCCTTTGGCTTAATCAACTGCGCCTTTCCCCTCCCCTTCTTCCCTGCTGCCTTGCAAAGAGGACTTTCCAGAGAATGCTTTCTTTTCAACGAGTGACTGTGCTGTGAACTCGAGGGCTCCAGCCCCAACCAGTGCAGTCCTTCATGGCTGGTATCCCAAGCACCCTCCCCGGAGAAAGGGAGCCCCTAAGATGGAAGGGCGCCAAGTGGAAGAGGGGGGAGCCATCATGAGGCTTTTTTCATGAGACCCCTGATCCCAAGAGGCCCCATGATAAGACTTCTAGTTTACTCTGGTCCTCCTCTCACCTCTGACACAGACCAGCCTGGCAGCCTCTCCAGTGCAGCTAAGGCTCAGATGCACCCCTGCTTATCCCTAAGATGCACCCCTGCTTATCCTGCCCACCCCTTCCCAGTGCCCCGGGTTTGCATCAGAGCCCTGTGTTGGAGGGCGAGTGGAGTGGGGAATTGATTGGCCGCTGAGGTGGGTGGTGGGGCAGGGAAGCCCAGGCCTAGGAAGCCACTGGAAACTGGACTTGTTTTTAATTGCTGAGCGGAAGGGGCAGGGCATTGATGGCTCAAGAGAAGAAGCTCTCTTTCATGCCGTAATTGGGAAATTCCACTTTGCTGTCCTTGTATGTTCCTCCGGCCATGGTGGCTGGGGCAGCCCACACTGTGGATCCCTCCCAACCCCAGCTCCCCTCCTCTATCTCTGTATCCTCTGGTCTCTGCAGTTCATTTGGTGCCAGGTGCACCCCCTTTTCCCTGTCTCTTCCTATGTTCCTCCTTACCTGCCGGGGGCATTGACCCGGCCCCTAAAAGCCCATTGTGCTGATGCTAATGAAAAATGAATCTGTAAAGTGGCAAGACCCAGATTCCCCATTCACATGGCATTTTAGAAAAGCAGCTTTGCCTCTGGCCCCCAGCCTGCAGGAGAGAGCGTCTGAGAGGCCCCGCTTGTCTCTCTTCCTCTTGCCCCTTTAATGGATTGCGTTTGTTTGCTCAGAATAAAAACAAATTGCTGTGACAAACACACACCAACCTAAGTCTTTCTGCTAAAAGAGACCCTGATCCACCTCCCCAGAATGCAGATGGATTTGGATCTTTTATTAGTTGTAGCCATGTTGATTGGGTCCTCAGCTGAAGGGAAGGAGACAAGACATTGAACAGGGCTAGGGGATCTCTTCAAGGAATTTCTTACATCCCTCTCAGAGGAAGCTTCTCTTCTGTTGGCTTTGGGTCAGTCTGCCCAGCTCCTTGTGTGAATCTTCTGGGGGCCAGGGCCAGGGTGCTTCTGTTGAGATGCAGGACAGCAAAGGGAGTGCATGGCAGAAGCCGCTTTGCACAACCAGCTCTTGGCTCTGCTCTCCTAACTCAGGAATGGCAGAGAGGCATGATCTTAGATGCCAGAGGAGGTTGCCTGTGAGAAAGCCCTGCCCTCCAAGGTAAAAACATGTCCTTGGGAGGGGCAAAGTTCAGAGAGCCCAGCCTCATCCATTTCCCTTGTCCCCTCATCTGTGGCAAAGTGCCAATATCCCAGCACCTCACAGAACCATCTGTGACCCAGTGCTGGCAGGGAGGGCTGGGGGCAGGCCAGTGGCTTTGCTCTGCCTCCCCCAAGCAGTCCACATGCTGTCCCTGTAGAGCCCACTGGCCTATACACAGTGCTCCTGGCAAGAAGTGGTGTATTTTCTTCTGGAATATGGAAACCACATGTGATGGGCCTTGCAAGGCCAGGCTGGGATTAATTAGGTGCCACCATGGGTGTGGGGGGAGGTGAGGAAGTGCTGACCAGAGGGAGCCCTATGCAGTGTACTCTGGAAGTCTGGGGAGCTTTAGAGAAAAGTGTCCCCATGTTTCAAGGGCCCTCCTCAGCCCCTGTGGTAGAGGGTGCTGATAGAGCAGAGGCTAGAAGGAGGCCAGGGATCCACTCTCTGTGAGCAGGACTTGTGGGAGGTTAGAGGTCACAGGTGAACTTGACAGGGGGAGGCCATGTGACCCACAGAACCAGCCATTCACCTGCGCCGCACATCTGGGAACCCCTGTTGTGGGGCTGAGGGTTCAGGAACTGTCCTGCACTCACCACAAGAGATGCTTTAAAAGTCATCTAAAGACTCATCTTATGGGTGCTGGCACCTGCTGGGCCCTTTCCAGCCTCCGATTAAAAAGTGCTTTCTTTGTAGTCTACACCCCAGCCCATGGCTCAGACAGCTGGCAGGGCTGGGGGTGGTTGTCAGGAACTGTTGCCAGGGGCTGAGAACTTGATAATGAATTTCTTTCTGAAGCTTGAGAGGTGGAATCTGCAGTAGTCTCTGGATCTGTTTATACTTTACCCTAGGATGCCAGGAAACTAGCAAAGTTTTGACCTTGGTAAGTCCAGAGAGCTTGGTTAATTAGCAAGTAGCTGATGGGTATCATAACCTAGCAACTTAACAAAACAGCAGCAGGTTTGGAATTGGCCCCTAATGGTCACTTCCATTCTCCTACCTCCTTGGAGTAGGGCTGCATCGGAACCTGGACAGACAAATGGTATCCTTAGTTTAAAAGTGCTTTTAAACTCCTAGAATAGCCGTTGCAGAGTGTGTCCTGTTTGTCCATTGGAGAACACAGTTCTCAGGAATCTCTTTCTTGTATCCCTTTAACCCAGCCTTTTCACCTTGGGTTTCCTCAGGCAGCCCTGAGAGGCCCATGTGTGGTCCTCCTGTCTCTCCCCACAAGTGGATTGTTTTAGTGGGTCCCCACAAAGGTCACAGACATGCACACACACATACACCTGCCCCTGTCTTAAGAAAAATACACAGAAGAGTTTCCATCACGTGCAGTTTGTTAAGGGCCATCTGACCAGCCACCCCTTCCATGTAGAAGGAGAGTTCCTGTCTCAGAGCACATGACGGTTGCACTTTGGAGGGGCCCTGGCCTGGAGGAACCTTGGGTCTGAAGTCAGTGCAGACAACGAGCACAAGCCCACGTGAAGCAGCATTCAGTCCACTGGGAAGGGTGCTTTGTAACCCAGGCTTCCGGGGCCCACCAGAGAAGCTTTTGGGATCTGAAGTGGAAAATGGGGACTTTCTTTAACAGTTTGCAGCTTCCACTCCCAGGAGAGTATGGGTTTTGGGTCTGTTGCTGTTGTCTTGTATCTTTTAATACCCCTGTTAGCATCAGAGCCTTTGCCCCCAGCTCCCTCACCCCGTCTTATGACATTTTCTTGGGGGTGCTGTGTACCATCCAGAGATCCCAGAGCTGAGGTTCTTGATTGTCTTCCAGACTCGGGGCCATTTGGGAAAACTGCCCAATTTCCAGCCTGGACTTGCTTTTCCTCCACCTCACTGGAAAGAAGCTGTGCTCTCTCGTGATGTCCCCCTTCACCCAGAGTCATTAACCCGCAGAAAATCCCCACCAAGACCCGTCCTGATGTGCCCTCCTCTTCATCATCCTCTACCAGGGCTCTCATCCTGCTGGCTGCCACCCTTCAGACAGAAGTGAAACACTGAGATCTGTGTGTCCTTCCCTGTCTTCCTTCTGGGCCCCGGGCCCTCCAGACTCCTGCCCATCCATTATCCTGGCCTATTTCCGGTCTATATTTAGATGACATAATCTCATTGGAACTGCCTGGCACTTGGACAGTGAATGTCTTTCTTGGTCTAAATCTCCGTTTTGACTCTTGCTCAAGAGAACGTGTCTCACCCCCTCCTGCCTCCCAGATTATTTGTTTTTCCTTGTGGTTTATCGCAGTTGCTCACATCATCCACACTGGCCTCTCTCCCTTTGTGAAGCTGAGCTGAGACGGATTTCAAGTGCATGCCTGAGTCACCTCTCATTTTTCTCTAAGTCCTCTGTCGAGCATCCTGTGCTGTCTGTTTTGAGCCTTGCCTCTCACTCTTTCCTTTCGGAAGCTGCTTTCCTAACTGTGAAGTTCTACATCCCTTTATCCATTCCCACCGGCTGCACTCCGTGCCTGGACTGCAGTCACGCGCCCCAGCTCCAGCTCCAGCTCTCACTCGTGACCAGTTTCCCAAACGTGGGGCCATCTGAGCCTCCTTGTTTTGCTCCCCCAGAGAACCTCTTTAGCCTGATAATGGCGCTCGTGTCTCCACCTCACCCTCGAGTCTTGTCATTAACTCTTGGTCTGCTGCGTCCCCAGAAGTTCTAACTTGCTTTTTGCTCAATTTTGCCATCTCTTTGGCAAAGCCCTCTCTCTTTCTTAACCACGTAAGTTTGACACTTTTTGCTTCAGTTCCCCAGATGTGTCTTTTCCTTTTTCTAATCAGGGCAACATCACATCCTTTCCACTCTCCATGCTGCAATGCCCATGATGACTTTTGTTAATGTAAATTTTTCATTAAAGAGCAACATACTGTATAAAAGTGCACAAATCATAAGTGTATCACAGCTCAGTTTTTGTTAATTGTCTACACCCATGTAACGAGCACTCAGGTCAAGAAGTAGAGCATTGTCAGCACCCAGAGATCCCTTTTGCGTCTTCTCTCAGTTACTACCCCTACCCCCCTCCCCAAAGTAGCCACTGGCCTGACTTCTAACACCATCCCTTCATTCACCTGGCTTTTTGAACTTTATATAAATGAAATCATACAGTCTGTGCACTTTTATAAACTGTAAACTTTCTTTTGATCCACTTCGTGGTTTGGAGATTCACCTGTGTTCAGTACAGCAGTAGTTCACATTTCTGTAGAGCACCCCACTCTGTGAGGATGCCACGGTTCATGTACCCATTCTGTCATTGATGGGCATTTGGGTTATGTTCAGTTTGGCACTATTGTGAATAATGCTGCTGTGAACATCCCTTCAGGTGTCTTCCATTGAATGTATGTGTACATTTCACTTAGACAATACCTAGAAATTGCTGGATCGGGGACCATACAGTATCTTTGGTAGATACTGTCCAAAGTGGCTGCACCAATTTCAACTCCCGTCCACAATGTGTGAGAGTTCCCATTGCTCACTTACTCACCAACACTTGGCACTGTTCAGTCCTTGCTTTTAGCCATTCCGGTAGGTATGTGGTGATACTACCTTGTGGTTTTGATTTGCATTTCCGTGAAGACTAATGAACTTCTCACCACTTTTTGCCTTTGGGTTATCCTCTTTTGCAGTGAGCCTGTTCAAGTCATTTTCCAATCGGGTTTTCAGTGCTTTTCTTATTGATTTGTGGAAGTTCTTTATATATTCTGGATTTGAGTCTTTCTCAGATGTCTGTACTGTAATTATCTTCTCCTACTCTGTGGTATGCCTTATTGCCCACTTAACATTATTTGATGAACAGAAGTTCTTTATTTTTATGCAGCCCAGGTAACCAATTTTTCTTCTCAGTTAGCATTTTTTTATGGTTTGTGGTGCTTTTTCAGGGGATTAGGAGCTCATGAGAACTAACCATAAAGCTGCCTGTTTCTGATTGATGTTTGTTAAGTATTCCCAGTGACCTGGACACCGAATACAATCCACCTAAAGCCCAGAAGTATTATTTCTTAGCTCTGGACAGGGTCTTGGAGGTCACCTAGTCCAGCCTGCTTGCACTTTGTAAAAACTAAGATTCCCACTCCTCCTCCAGCCCCCACCCCGACTGAACCCCAGGGGTTTCTGGTGCAGCTAGGCCAGTGGAGGTCTGTGACCTGGAGTTGGGAACCGCTAATCTAACTATGGTGGTCAGCAGTCTTTGGGTGGCAGGAGGCAGGAATACAGATCAAAGGCACCAAAACAATCAGGGGAGCTTGACTGGTTTGTATACCCAGACCCCGGCAGAGGGCTGTGAGGTCCAAGAATTCGGCATCTTTTCTCGGCCTTTGTTTGAGGTCAACTTCATTGTTTCGGTCTCTTCCACTGGTGGCCACCACATCACATGGCCATCACACCCCTGCTGGTTGTGCTTGGGAGGAGCTCTGGTTGGCTCCCCTGGGGAGCCCTGACAGAACCCCAAGTGGAGTGAGGAGCAACAGCTCTCCAGAATAAAAGGGCTGTTCTTCCCAGGAGTGGACACCTCAGGGGTGCCCCACGTGGCTGCTTTCCTGAGCAGTTTTCTTATGTGAAAAATGGAGATGGTGACCGTCATGATCTCCTAGTAACTAATGATGGATTAAATGATGTAACAAAAAGTGTTTAGAAGAGTGTCTTGCACCTGGTGACTGTGCAGTAGGTACCGGTAGCGATGGTGACGGTAATTGTGATGAGCGATATCATCAGCCCCCTGTCTGCATGTGTCAGAGATAGGAAGCCCGGGAGGTGGAGGCATCCGTGGTCCCAGCGCTGGCCTGGTTCCCATCACCACCTTCCCGGCCCCTTGCTCCCTCTGATATGGCAGACAGCCCCTCCCTCAGGCTCAGCTCCTGGAAAGCAGGAGTTCTGGAGTTGACTGTCACTTCCTGTTGTTTTCTAGGGAAAAAGGAAGAAAAAAAACCATTGAACAAACTAAGACTTGCCCCCAGGTGTCCTCCCTTCCTCCTTCCTCAGCCCCCACCTAGATAGACCCCACCCTGTTCAGAGCTACCCAGTCTGGACTGCTGATTGCTCGTGAAGAGAACCAGTTCTCACCCTTATGTTGAACGAAATAAAGGTAGTATGTAGTCAGGGACAAGGATCGGCAGGTCCACGACTAGAACCCTCCTCGTTTACTTCGGTTTCGCTCTTACTTACCCCTTCACTGCTGAGCTGGCTCTTTCTCCTCTGTCAGCCCATCCTTGGCAGACTGGCTGTCCTGTGGCAAGACAGCCACCAGCAGCTCTCAGCTCACTGCTGTCCCTTAGCACCAGCCTTCAGCAGCAGTTCTGGACTTGAGTCTCACCGGACCTGTCCCTGTGCCCTGGTTATTCAGGACGGGATCGTGCACCCACCCTCAAAGGCAGAGGAGGAGCCATTGTTTGTGGAAAATTGATTCTGGAACCAGAATCCTAAGCTGTGGACACTGGGAAGCAGATCCAACCAGTGCCACTCCATAGTGTAGGTTCACATGCTGGCTGAAAAGGGGTGGGAAGCAGGCCCCCCTGAGGGCCCAGCCTCACCATGATTGCAGAGGGAGGAGGGACCTCCCCCTGAAACCTCCCCTCCCAATAGCTGGATTGTCCCCCAGGAAGGAGGGCAGGGAGAGGGTGGAGCTGTGTGTGTGACCAGTGACCTTCCCAGAGACCACTGTGGGGCAGGTGGGGAGTACAGCTGCATCTGAGAAGCCAGGTCTCCAGCTGATCCCTCCTCATTGCCTGTGGGGCTGGGGAGTCAGACTCAGGCCCAGCCCCTCCCAGCAAGGCTGCTTGTACCCTTTCCCCACAGTATGCTCCCAGAATGGTGATTGAACAGAGACTGGGAGAATCTCCATCTAGATTTTAGGCTTAGTTCACAGGGGCCAGCAGGGACCTTAAGGGTCAGCCAAAGGCTTTCACACAGGAGGAAACTGAGGCTCCGATTTTTCCAGTAAAATTCCCCCCATGCTGCCCTTGTGCCACGGCTGGACTGGGCCAATGCAGGCCTGGTCACCACAGTCTGCAGACAGGACACTCAGGTGTAGCAGGAGCGTCGTGGAGGGCAGGGAGAGCTCTGGCTACCCTAGTCAGGAGGCAGAGGTCAAAGGTTCACTCCCCATGGTCTGTTCTTTGGCTCTTCCTGGGGTGCCTGCAGTGTGCCAGTCCCTGCGCCAGCCTGGTGCACACATGGAACCAAGAGCCAGTTTCTGCCTTCACTGAGGTGGCAGTCTAGTGACATCGGCAGACAGGCGACAAGTGACTAAGAAACGTGTGGCCCAGAGTTGTGATTTGTGGATGATGGAAGAAACGGCGGGAACGGGGGTGTCCACAGTTTCAGGCCTGTGGGAAGGGGGTGCCCCACAGCTTCTGCAGAGCCAAGAAGCTGTGACCTGGATCGGATGTTTTCTCAGAGCACTGAAGTGCCCTAGTTTTCCCTCTCCTCGGGCTCAGCTGAAGCTTCGCCAAGAATCAGCTTTTAAAGGCTGCCTGAAATGTGGTTTGAAGCCAAAAATCTATAGAGCCAGTGCATTTGTGACCTTGTTGAAAAATGTTTACCCAGGAAAATTAGGGGGGTAGGATTTGAGAATTTTTTTTCCTTATCAAAAATTGTTTTTAAAAATCAGTTTGGCCCTCCTCACCCCCATCCCTTCCCCTCTCTGCACAGTCCCTACCAGCTTGCCTGAATCCTGCAGCCCCACAGCACTCATCCCTTCCATTTGTCCACACCTCCCCCACCCACAATCCCTCTCCTTCCCCTCTTTGGGAGTGAAAAAAAACCAAGTGGGTAAAATTAAGGAGCCTGGGTATAGCCCTGGAAATTAGGCCACAGCTGTCAGGCCAGGCAAGAGTCCTCGTCTCTGAATGGAACTGCCGGGAGCCAGCGCTCAGCCCCTCCCCTGTGAGGATAGATAAGTCTCTCCCAGCTCCCCCTCCCCCAGAAGGGGCTGCTGCTGTACTGGCCTAGAGAGGGCTAGGAAATGCCAGCTGTCATTGAGCAGGCCTATCCCAGTGCCCACTGATGCTCTGCAGTGAGCAGAGCTAGTCCCTGCCCCCAAACAAGGGTGGTCATAAATGCAGGTAGCGATGATGCTCTGTGGGAGCAGAGAGGTGGGGGAGTGTCCAGGCCCAGTGGAGTTGTCGGGAAAGCTTCTAGAAAGAATACTGTCTACCTGAGCCATGAATGATAAACTCGCTGTGGGTAGGGGTGGGAGGAGAAGATGCTTTTGTTGTAGGAAGAGTCTGCTCAGAAGCCCAGAGGCCAGTGCCCGAGCACCCCGGGAGCTGGGAATATGGCTGGGACCGGGCCTCCAGCTGCCTTGCAAGCAGCCCCAAGGGACCCAGTGAGGGTCCCACTGCAGGGCTCAGGCAGGTTCAGAAAGCTGTCCACCTGCTATGGGTGTGCACAAATCCTGAGAGACATCCCTGACGTGTGGCCACCCTGCAGTCTTCAGATTGGCACAGAGCCAGGAGGCCTGTGGGGCTGCATGAGGACACACCTGAGGTGGTGGTCCCAGAGCCCCCTGTCCTGAGCTCCAGTGATGGCAGGGAAGTGGGCCCAGGGCTCATGATGGTGGGGACACTCACTCACTGCCTACTATTGCTGTGCCATTAGCCGCCTAAAACACCAAAGGGTGCTCAAGGAGCTCAGCAAGCTCAGGAAGTTGGCCGGACAAGGGATCTGGCTGCTGCATCGTTCTAGGAGGTTTAGTGCTGCTGGGACCAGCAGTTTGAGCAGATAATCTGGACTAAGTTTAAAACCTTCTCAACACCCCAGACATCCCTGCCCCGAAACGTTTGGCTCTTCAGGGGACATTGCCTTCAGCCAGTTAATTCCAGGTGCCTGTAAATTCAGCCAACTTGCCTCATCTGTTTCCAGAGAAGAGTCAGCTTTTTCCTTCCTCCCGCATGAGCTGAGCAGATGAGGCTTGCCTCTTTTGAGCCCTTCTCCTGATGGGGACCCCCGCCCACCTCTGCCGGTAGCCCCTGGCCCCAACAGTTGGCAGGCTCCTGGAGTTAGCTCACTTCCTTCCTGCCCCTGAAGCCTGAGCAGCCGCCCCAGTCCAACTCCTTCTGCTTCTGCAGCCCCCTAGTAGCGTGGTAATTGGTTTCTCAGATCTTCAACTGTGCACTCCGTCTGTGAGTATTTCCTGGTCCCCTGACCCTCCACAGGAAGACCTGTGATCTTACTGCTGTGGGGACCCTGCAGGGAGGGGTCCCTGGAGAAAGGACTGCTCCTCCATTTCTCTGCCTCTCCCAACCAGTCCCTCTGCCCCGCTCCTGCCAGTGATGCCTGGAATGGCACCCGCACTGCCACTTTCTGCCCCCAGCCCCACGGTACAGCCCAAGGTCAACTCCCCCAGGATGGGGTGCTGGGCCTGGTGTGATGGAGCAGCTGCCCAGTGATATCTGTCCCAGCTCAGCTCCCAAGATGATTATCTGTAATTACAGCTCTTGGAAGGTCACAGCTTTTATTTCATTCTTGTGGTGTTTGCAGAAAAGTTCAAACCTCTCTTTACTTGCTTAGTCTTCCTGAGCCAACTAGGGAGTTTCTAGGAGAGAAAAGACAGCCATCAAAGATATGCCACAGGCCAAGCATAATGGCAGAGGGAAGTGAGGGGCCCCGGCTCGGAGAGGAGAGGCCAGAAAGGAAGGCAGGATGGATAGACCTGGACAGGCATGAGTGCCCGAGGGGCTGGGGAGGGCGGAGGGTGGCACTGAGCTGCAGCACCATCTCTCCCACAGCTGTGCCGCCCCTTGCGGGTCCAGCACAGCCCCAGAGGAGGGCACCTCCCTGAGATTTCATCATCTGAGTCCTGCTGCCATTTTCCCTGCTGCCGTCTCCCAAGTCCATCCCTCTTTCTCAGCCTGACTTAGCTCTGTCCCTCCCCTCAGAAGGGGCATCTAGAAAGGCTCCCCAGACCCTGTGTTCTTAAAATTGGGAGAAGGTGGTTGCATGAGGCAAAAGTGATTTAAATAGCAGCCCAGAAGCGTAGGCTTCCCCTGCACAGCTATGTTCGGATGTGGACTCTCAGATCTCACCCTGCCAGGCTGCATGGCACCCGTAATCCCCGGGCTCTCGGTGTGAGGCAGCTTTCCGGCTCTAAGTGAAGGCGGGGGCTTCATCTCCATTGATAACATTGGCTGTTCTGCTTGGATTCTATTTCAGGAGAAGCCTCCCTTGTAGTAGACACTCCTGCCTCAGAGTGGAGCCAGGCCTTTTCTCCTGCAAGGAGTATTATGCTAATCACTCCTTGCAAACAGGCAGACTTTGTAGGAGGTTTGCCTGGTTTTAGATGAAACCTACGCCTTTGAAGCGAAGAGCCACAGTAGCTAAAAATATCATTTCCCGGCTGTTGATCCTCTCATTTGTAAAATGCTTGTTTCCATTGTTAAATCTCCCCTGCTCTGCCTCTGAGATCTCCACCAGGGAGTCCAAGATGATCCCCAAATGTGTAGGACTCTAAATATTTTATTTGTTGTTTAAAAAAATCTTAATCCATATATGATAAAAATTGAAATAATGCCGAAGAATATAGTATAAAATGTAAGACCCTCACCACCACTTCCTCCCCCAGAAGTAGCCTCTGCTTTCATTTTCATGTATATCCTTCCAAAACTTTGCCTTTGCATTTATAAATACATGATTCTGTTTGGTTGTGGTTGTGGTCCTGGTTTTCTAGCAGAGGATTCAGACTCACAGTTGCCCTGTTTTCACTCACTCGCATCACCTGGCGTTCAGCAGGCATAGCTCCCTCAGGATCCCAAGCTCGCTAGGACACTGCCTTCTAATCTCTTGGCCAAAGCAGACTGGCTTAGGGTCACTCTCCCTTATCAAGGCTGCCACATCGGTGTTAAAATGCCATCGCTCGTTTGTGTGCAGTGGCCCAGTCTCTCTGCTCAATGGGCAGTGGTGTGATGATGGGGTGGTGGGTGGCTCCCCAGCAGGCCCCTGGCCTGGCACCTCTCCTGGGGTGTAGGGGCCTCTTTTGTAGCCAAGACCTGGAACTCCTTAGGCACCTGCAGGACACTGTCACCAGAGGAACTTAACAGATGCCTCACATATGGGGCCCCTTCTCATTCTCATGCATTTAATCCAATAAAGATTTCCTGGGCTGGAAAAGAACATTCAGATGAAAAGCCTATTTCATGCATCTTAAATTTCCCTAAAAATGACTGATCATAAAGGGAATTTCTTCAGCCTCATGTTGGGGTGGATGAGGGTACAAATAAGAGAAACCTCCCTCCCTCTTCCATGTGGCCACAAAGGACTGAAGGAGTCCCCTCCACGCTCTCTCTGTCCCCTCCTTTCTTCTGTGACCCTTCCATCCTCCCAGCCCTTTCACTCCGATCTCTTCACCATTGTCCAAGAGACTCCACAGTGAGGCTGCTCTGATATTTGCTCTTTGTTACCAGCAGTGGGCTTTGGTGTTTCACTTCCCATTCTGTTTTCTGCCATTTATCTCAGTGCCCTTTAAGTGGGCACTTGTGAAGAGCTACAGAAAACAATCTCAGTTCATAAAATTCCATAAAACTCCCATACTAAAGATCTGAAGGCCAGAAAGACACTAATCATTCTAGTTCCCTAATAGAAGACTGTTATCTCCTGTGAAAGCCAAATGTAGCCAGAAAAGTGGGAGAGGCACATGCCAGAGGCAGGCTGGAGCTGAGCTTCCTCCCCCAGCACATCCGCATCTCAGGCTGGGAGAGGTGATGCCGCCTTAGGAGAGGATGGCAGGACGGTCCTGGGCAAGCAGAGGTCTGGCCTGAGAGTTCATCTCCTGTTCTTCCCATCTGAACTAAGCAAATCTTGGCTGCGTACCAAGGACTTAGGGCTCTAAGGTGGAGACGAGGCAGAAACTTAGGGAAAACTAGGACCCAGGATCTGGGGAGGTGGGGGTGTGGTCATGAGGAGGAGGTCATGAGGTTCTTCACCCAAAGCTGAGCCCAGACTCTGCAGCTGTGCGCTCTTTGGAGCTGCTGGTGGAATCTCCCCATTTCCACTCGGAGAGTGGCATCGCCAGGCTAGTAGCAGTGGAAGCTAGGAGCAGTGGTTCTCAGTCCTGACTGTAAGCCTGTTAGGAATACAGATTGCCGACATCCCGGAGTGGGCCTGAGCATGGTCTTGGTGTCCCAGATGGTCTTCACATGACTTCAGTGTACAGCCAGAGTCAGGGGTCTCTCAGTAAGGGGCTATTCCTGGCTTGGAGGGCACTCTTGGTTCTGGAGGGTAATTGTGTGACCATCTGGGTTGGTAAGGACACTGATGGGACAAGGTTTGGTGGTTCCCTGCTGAGAGGTGTGTGTGGAGCCCAAGGGCAGGAAAGCAAAATGACAGCCCCCTGATGGGAACACTTCAGAGCACATTAATCCTTAGGAGGAAAGTTAGCTCAGGAAGTAAGATAGAAGTGAATCTCTGTGATCACTCTGGACCAACCCCTGCAAGGACAGCCCATTTGGTGAAGAGTTTGAGATGGGGGACATTCTGGCCTCCTTGCAGTGACCATGGGAACACTGGACCCAAGTCGGGTACGTGGCTTTAAGGTTAGAGGAGCAGAGTCCTGGGATCTCAAGGCCTCGGTTTCTGAACTCCACAGTGACAGAGGTGAGAGAGAGGTGCTCGCCATCTGTAAGTGTTTGTGGTCATATAACAGTAGCAGGAAGTGATCCCTTGGCCTGAAACAAAGGACTAGTTTGGAAATAGTGGGATGAAGTAAAGGAAAGCATGAACGGAGCAGCTTGGTAACAAGAAGACTACTGGGTCATGGGGTGTCCCTCAGCCATTCCCAGGAACAGTGGAGCAGCCCCAGCCAGCCTCCCCTGGCTCCCAAAACTTGTTACTTGCCTGCCTCATTTCTCAGAAGGTCACCCCCAAAGTTTGAAGGGGGAAATGGCAGAGATGCAGGGTTACCTTTCGCTTCCCTGTCCCAGGACAGACTCTACCTCCAGGGATCTGATTAAGGTCACATATCATAGACTGAAGGGGTGTCTATGCCCTGGGCAGTCCAGTCACAGGGAACTGGAGCCATCAGGTAGAAAGGGGGCTGGGCTAGGGAGGAGAGGTGTGTCTTGGTGTAGGTGACACACAGCACTGGACTGTCTGGCAGAATGAAACTTTCTGGGTCAGGGACTCGACTCCACTATGGCCTTGGCTGAGTGGCTTAGACCAGCCCTTGGCTTCAGTTTCTTTTTTGTCCCATGAGCACTTGATCTCCGAGGGCCTCTCTGAGCCTGGCTGGAAGCTGGCAGAGGCATGGATGGCAGTCAGTCTGGGGCCAGGAAACAGTTTGCTGTGCTGGTTGAGAGTTGGCAGTGAGGCAGCGTGCAGCCTCTTTCCAGGCAGGGCTCACCTCAGTGGGGGTACTAAGTGCATCCTGGGGAGGAAATCCCTCTGAAAGGGCCGGAGCTCAGAGGGCTTCAAGGGGGGAAAGGTTCCATCTGGTTCTCTAACGGCCAACCCAGGGGACTCCCAGGCATGCAAGGCTCAGGGTCGCTGTTTTCCTGGCAGTCTCAGCCTGGATTAGGAGCACCAGGAGTCAGTGTACTGAAATCTACATTCCCTGTTGGACCTCGGGCAGCCACTGGCGTGGGAACCTGCTGATAGAGTCACCCCCATAGATCCTGCCCCCATCCCGATCCAGGTTTGAGTTTGGGTCCTGCCTCCCAGACTCTGCCTCACTCCTTGGAGATAGGCCATCACCCAAGCAGGGCAGAATTAAGTGTGGGCACAGGTCAGCACTGTCTTGGCCAGATGTAGCCCCAGGGTGAGGGTCGGGTAGAAGGAGCTGGTTTGCATAGAAACTGCCCCAGAACCACAGGAAGTTTCTGGAGCAACTCAGGCTCTGGTCCATCAGAAGGCCTGGTGATATCTGTAGGTGCCCCCACTTCCCTCCCAGAAAACCATCCATCTTCCAGAAAAAGCACGTCTGAGCCCCTGTGCCAGCTGGGCCCTGGAACCTACAAGCTGAGTGTACGGGGAGATG